TCTCTCTCTCTCTCTCTCTCTCTCTCTCTTTCTCTCAGAAATAGATAACCATTAAGAGAAAAAAAGAAAATTGGTCCTCATCAACCCCAAACACACGGTATTTATAAAAGCAGTGCTACAGAGGAGAAAAGTCTTGAGAGAACTCTCCCAGGCCCTGAACTCGAACCCCTTGCAGAGGAAGAAGAATCTCTAACCTGAACCCCACCCTCAGGCCCCAGCCCTTTTGAATCTCTCTGAAACAAACCGAGCTAAAGCCAATTCAATCGTGGGTAAAGGGGACAGGACCCACGCCACCGAGGGGTGTCCGTCCGCACTGCTCTCGGTCACCTCCAGGTGAGTGGTTGTAATCCCTTAAATCATACGTGAGTAAACTTGAAATGAATTGACTGGATTAACTGATGTGAAGCACCCAGAGTAGAAAAATATTTGCAAGAATTATGGTGAATGTCGAGGAAGCATAGCTGGGAGTACACCTGTCGAGGCAGATGACCTGAGTTCCAATACAAGGCACTTACTTTCTGTTGGTGACTTTGGAGGACATGGTCAATTTCTCCACGTGCACAATTGGGGCACTGATGCCTGGCTTGTGGGTGGCTGTGAGCACTGGTGATAAGGTCTGTAAAGTGCTTGGAGCTGGACCACAAAAGCCGCCACCTTACTGTCACCAGCACAACACTCCCTGCTCGCACCACACCCCACCTACACACACACTGAGGCTTCACTTATCTTCACCTTATTTACTACTTGGGAAGAGCTAACTATCTGGGAAATTCTTGATTTGGGGCCAAGATAAAATTTAAAAGACTATCCAATTACCACCTTGTTCCAGGCATGGTGAATTTAAAGATGAGTAAGCCCCAACCAGCCTCAAGTAGCATATTTCCATCTAGCAGGTAAAACAGACATCTATTAATAATTTCTTATGATACAATGAACTCTGTAATAGAAGCATATTGGCAGAACTATTTACTTTGGCTCAACCAGTCCAGGGTGGCTTCCTGAGGAAGAGAGGTTACCTTGGGTCTTGAAGTTTGTGCAAAAATTCCTGGGTAGGTAAGGAGAGCCTCAGAGCCATACTAAACAGAAGGATTAGCATTAGCAAGGTTCCTTCCAGTGGCTTTCTAGAATCTTTATGATCTAACCCCTGCTGGCTTCTCCAATCTATGTTCTCTCTCCAATCTAACACCAAACTGTAAAGGAGATTTTTTTTTTTTTTGCATTTTTTTTTTTGATGATTACATTTCCTTTTTTGTTCTCTTTCCAGACTGGCCCTCTTATTTATTTATTCTCTTCTACTTTTGATCTCTTACTGTTCTTGGTCCACCTGATAGGAGTTTCCCCCTACTTTATCTTCCAGTCTTTCAGCTGGATTTTTCATTTCTGTTGCCATTTATTTCTCTCTCCATTCCTTTTCCTCTCCCCTCCATCAGCAATCATTTTTGTATCCTTTAAGATTTTATTTTTAAGTAATTTCTACACCCTACATGGAGATTGAATTTACAACCTGAGATTGAGAGTCCCATGCTCTACCGACTGAGCCAGCCAGGTACCCCATTCTTGTATGTTTAATGCAGCTCTTTTTTGTTGGTATATATTTTCACAAAATGTGTATTTTTTTTTAATTTTTAAAAATGTTTATTTATTTTTGAGAGAGACAGAGTGGGAGCGGGGGAGGGGCAGAGAGCGAGGGAGACACAGAATTTGAAGCAGGCTCCAGGCTCCGAGCTGTCAGCACCAAGCCCGACGCGGGGCTCGAACCCATAAACCGTGAGATCATGACCTGAACCAAAGTCAGACACCCAACCGACTGAGCCACCCAGGCACCCCCCATAAAATGTGTATTCTTATTTTGCATCCGTCTACCTTTCATTTATATAAAGTGTATTGTCGCATATATTCATATTCCTAACTTTCTCCCCACTTCTAATCTCTACTTCCTACCTTCCCTCCACACGGTCAGTATTACAGGTTAACATATTATCATATTAGTGTTCCGTGGTTGCTGTCACAAATTACTACAAACTTGGTGGCTTAAAACAACAACACAGTCCTGTAGGCCAGAAGTTCAACACTAATTTCGCTGAGCCAAAGTCCAAAATGCTCTCATCTCAATACCTTTAACTGAATCACATCTGCATGGACTTTTTTTTTTTTTTTTTTTTTTTTTTTTTTTTTTTTTTTTACAAACTAAAATGGAGTATTTTATTCCATTGGAATGCTATTCCCCCAGATAAATTCATTCTTCGAGGATCTTTTTATTGGATATAGAAGTATGAGGAGAAAGTTGTTATCTTTTAGCCTCTTCAGGACATGTTTCTACTGCTTTCAGTCCCCATAATTTCTCAAGAGAAATCGGTATAATTTTGCATGTTACGTACCTTTTTCTTTTCCTGGCTGCTTTTTGGAATTTTCTCTTTGAGTTTCAGTAGTTCCCCTATATGTGTCTATTTGTATTTATACTTCTTGGGGTTCACTGAGCTTCTTGAATCTGTAAATGTGTGTTTCATAAAATTTGGGAAGGTTTGGGTCATTACTTTTTCAAATGTTTTTGTCTGTCTCATTCTTTTGCCTCCTGGAACTCCAATTGCATATGTGTTAGAAATATGCATTTAGTTATATACATGTTAGCCTTTCAGATTTTGTCCCACAGATCATTACAGCTGTATTTAGTTTTTCTCTCTGTTCTTCAAGTTGGATGATTTCAGACTGATCTAGCTGAAAATTCATGGAGTCCTGCTTTTGTCATCTTCAGTCGACTGCTAGCCCTTTCAGTAAATGTCTCACATGTTATTTTTCAATTCTCAAATTTCTATTTGATCCTCTTTTGTAGTTTATACTTTTCCTATTTGCTCATTCACTGTGAAAATTATTATTTTTTTACATTCTGGAGCACCTTTTTAATAGATGCTTTAAAATGCTTGTCTGATATTTTAACATTTGGGTTATTTTGTTTGGTTGGTTGTTTTTGCTCTGTGCCAGCACAAAGCCCAACGTGGGATGTGAACTCTCAACCCTGAGATCAAGACCTGAGCTGATATCAAGAGTCAGACACATAACCGACCGAGCCACCCAGGTGCCCTGGCATTTTGATTATTTTGGATTCAGTCTCCATATTGCCTTTTTTCTTATGTATGAGTCATATTTTCCTGTTTCTTAGTATATATAATAACTTTGTATCATAGCAAGGACATCATGAGTAATATGTCACAGGGACTCTGGATTCTGTTGTATTCTTTCCAATAATATTGATTTTTTAAAAAATTTCACTAAGAGTTCACCTGCCTTGACTCAAACCTTGTATCTGTTTCCCTAGTGGGAAGCAGCTGAAATTGTCATGCATTTTGTTTGTCCCTGGCTGCGATGCTAGGAGTCTGCCCCATGCATGTATAGTTCAAAAGCCAGCCAGAGATTTAGGCAGAATATTGGCCTCCACCTTTCTGAGTCTCTCTGGGATTTTCCCCTCCTCTCCATTTCCAGTAGCTGTGGTTGTTCTAAACTCCGCCCTCTGGGTTTTCAGGAAGTAAAACTGACAAATCTGGGCTATTAGTTGCCCCATAGGGCACTGACTGGGTCTGCCCTTATACTAGAAGCCATAAAAAAGGGAATTTAGCCACCGCTATTCTTTTTTTCAAGTGTTGATCACCACGATCCTCACCACCCCCCACCCCCCCCACCCCAGTTCTGTCTACCTTTGGTTACTGCTCAGTGTCTTTAGGTAGCTGTTTAAAAAAATTTTAGGCTTACGTTTGTTATCTGCAAGATGGTTAGTCTTGCAGAACCTCCTAGTAGT